TAGACCTTTCTCGTGCGTTACTTACGCTAAGTAGTTTACGGGAATAGGCTATATTACTCCTCTTTTTCGGAGTAAGTACGAATTTCTTTAGTTAATTACTCTAGAGGCTATTCCCGAATATCTATTCCGTCGGCGAAGTATATTGAGGAGGAGCAGAGCGTACGCGATACTAGAGGCCCGGATAGGTTCACTCGAAAGTGCACTCTATCAAAGACTATAGCTCGTATAATAATCCAATATAAATGAAACTAATACCGCTATACTAATCGAGAGATAAGAAATCTAATGTAGTTATCGTATCTTAGCTATACCCCTTAGTCGTAGAGATATAATAGTCGCTAGCCCGAAGGCATAAGAAGTAATGAGAGAAAAGGAATAAAATGCAAAAGTTACTTATTCGGCTATAGCGGTACGACGAAGTAACTTAAGCGCTTATAACTAAAATAAATATATTAATCGAAGAATAACGAATCTAATAATAAAAACGAATCTTTAATTAATATAAAAATAATAAAGATAATAATCTAGCTAGGTAGTAAACTCGATAATAAGCATAGCATGGCCCGTACTTACGGGAGCTATAGTTATTCTATATAGGCATAAGGCCTATCGTAGCGTGTCACGTGATGCATCAAGAGGGCATGTCTTACCGCACTACTATAATATTCGCCGCTCCGGACTTTTAGTACTTTTACTAGTAACCGTACCTAACTTTAATTACTTTATACTCCTTATCGGAATATTCCTACTTCCCGTAGCTTCCGTAGGTACGATTAAAGTAAGTTTTAAACTCGGAAGCCCGTAGGATATATCCGCTTCTTCCTTTAATTTCTCCTAGGTTTCCGCTTCGAGTTACTCTTATATCTCCTATACGATTAATTCGAATAGTTTAATTACCTTTTACGATTAATCGTCTTTAGACCTAGTCGTTTCGTATTTGAAATTATCGGAATCTATTTCTAATTCTTCTTAAGGCTACCCCTCCCCCGAGCTAGGACCGGCGGACTAAGTCGTATCTAGATTCTCGTTACCCGAGATAGGCTCGCTATTTCCGAGAGAAGTTAACTCGTTACTTAGCTTTCGATTAAATAATATAAGCGAATCTTATAGATCTAATACTTCGATAATTAATTAAATAACGTTATTACTTATCCGTATCGAGAGATTTATTCGATTAATTTCTTCTTATTTAAATTATTAAGCTTTTGACTTATTTATTTAGTTATAAAACGTTTCTTCGTTAAAGACTATATTCCTAATTAGAATTACTTTACCTAGCCTAAGAACCTAAATTCGGTATAGGTTATTAGTATAATATCCTACTAAATATCCGATATAAGCTCGTAGGTTTACCTTAAACCCTTTCTTATTAAGATCCTAAGTACGTTCTCCTATTAAAGGATACGCGCGATACCCGTATATATAGATACCGTTCTAGTCCGGTCGTAAGTCGCTCGTTAGCTCCCTTATTACCTCTAGAATATACTGTAGTGGTGCGGTGGATCTAGGCCACGTAGCCTTTTCGATGTTTATTTATATGGGTCGCGCACTCATATTTTCATTAGTTAGACTTAGACCTGTAGATATCACAGCCTACAGCCATTCACTCGTTTCTTGCCATGCCTTTCTAGCCATCCTCGTTGCCCTTTGTCCCCTTTTTAGTTCCCCTTCCCGGCTGCCGTTTTCAGCTGGCCGATCAACCGATTACAGCTATTTACAGCTGTGATCTTGGGTTGATCGGCACTGGGCCAGTTGTTGGCAGTTGGATAGCCGTTTCGTGCCTCCGTCAGCGTGCCCACGCTGCTCCTGTTTAATACTATTTAAAGTACTACTTAAACTAAGCGTTTAAGAGCTCGTAAGGTATACGAAGATTATAAGCTTAGCTAAGGCTAATATTAATTAAATAAGCTACGGCTTTAACGATTTCCGGCTATCATTTCTCTAGTAGCTTTACTTTAATCCTTATCTTAATCGACTTAACGATAATAATCTATTATATTCCCTTACCCCTACTAATTAGCTCTTTAATATTAATAAGCGGGAGTTTAAGATTAATACCTTCTTCTACTACCTAGATCTTATATCTGAATATACCTTTAATACTTATTACTAAGCGCTTATTATCGTAGCGTATCTTATAAATTAAGAGTCGGAATTACTTCCGAACCTATCTTTTAAAGAGTCGAAGAGTTCTTATTACTAATAAACCTTACTTACTCTCTAAGGTCTTAACCTATAACATTCTACTAAATTTATCCTTAATTACGATAAGCTACTTAGATCTGCTATAACCTTCCGAGTAATTAAATAAATGGTAGTATACCCTCTAAAAAGGATGTAGCGAGTAATATATTAGTAAACGGCGCGAGATTACTCTCTTACTTATCGCTTAATTATAATACTCGTACTTAATTATAGGTATACCGTTAATCTTAACGTTCTAGGCGTTTTTAATAAAGGCTCTAAGCGCCTTAAGATTAAGATACCTTACTCGCTAATGCTAGAATACCTCGGAGTCTTCTTTCGGTTTAGTAATATCTTTCGATCTTCTTTACTAGATATTTTTCTCCGGAAAATAAAGTACTACTATAATCGACGCTACGCTACGGGGAATGCTCGATAATATTATAAATAATATCACGGATAAAACTTACAAATAAAAAGATAACTACTTAAATTCGAAAAAGACTAGGTTAAAGCGTCGCTCTAATTTCCTTACTATAATACTTTTCTCGAGGGTTTCATTCCTTAAAATATAATCTAAATCGTAAAACTAAATACCTATACTACGAAGTTTCGCATTAAAGATAATATTAATATAAAAATCTTTAATAAGTACGACGTCCTTAAGCTTTAAATTAAAGGTAGGTTTATTAGATTAATTTAAAATATACTTCTCGATAATCTTATAACCCGTATTAATAATAAGGAAGCTAGTAGTATGAGCTTTAACCGTTTATCCGTCTTTAATAGAAACGAACGATCCCTTTACTAAAAGGTTACGATTATTAATAAAGTAAATAGCTCCATACTTATTAAAGACGGTACTCTCCGATAGTAGGTATAGGATTAAATCCATTATAAAATAGATCTTAATCTAAGTAAATAGGTATATAATACGTAAGTCGATAATAGTTACGTTAAGATTAGCTAACTAAGTAGTAACGTTATTTCCTCGCTCGTTCCCGGAGCGATTATTAGGTATATTATTTACGGGAACGTTCTATTCTTAGCGGTTAATTTAATTTCAAAGCTTAGCGTACTTCGGTAATTCGTATTTAGCTTTAATCTTTCGTATAATATTAGTCAGGATATTTTTTCGGTAGCGTATAGTTTAATTAATAATAAATTTTTAAAAGATTTCATAAAAGCGATCTAGCTATATATATAGTCTACCTCTAGACTTATAAGGGCATTCGTAGCTCGTTACTTTTCCTTAGCCGTTATTATTATCTAATTTCGCTCCTAGTATTAAACCTTAATAAGTTATTACGAAAATTCTATAATCAGATTTACCTTTCTATTTATTTTTAATAACGAAAGCATTAAATACGATACCTAGTTATTTAAGGGCCTTTAGGTATTCGCCGAGTTTATTAGCTTCCGTAAAAGCGATTAATATCTAAGTAATTTAATCGACTACGATCTTAGCCTTAATTACTTCGAGAAAATCTTTTGCTCCTATAACGCTTTTAATTTCGTTAATATAATAAGTACGAATACGAAGGAAGGTATGTTATTACGTAGCGTAAAATTACTTGGAATTATAGGTACTTACCTTTACTCTTTAGAATATCTTACGGGATTTTCGCCTAACTAACGTTTTAATAACGGCCTCGGTAGGAGTAATTTACTTACGGAAGATCTTTATGAGGTTTTAAATAATCGAGTTAAGGTCTAGGAACTAGATCTCTATATTAACTACTTTAAAAAAGCATATAGAAATAAATATAAAAATCTAACTATATAGAACCTTATATTACTTATTAGTAGTTATAACCTAAGCCTCGATTATTATCTATTAGAAAATAAGCTTATTATACGAAGCCGTTTATTACTTTCGAGTTCGAGCCTTAAGCCTTACTAATTAATCTCCTCGGTCTTCGGTTACGATCGATACTTATTCGTAAACCGCTTTCTTATAGTTTTCTTTAAGGAGAGCGTTCTCTTAAGTAATATACTCCTTAAGAATACCTACTACGACTCGATTAAAGTTAAACTTAACTCCATATAGATTAACGTCTTTTTAGATACTAAACTAAGTAGCTATCGACTTAAGCGTAAGGAATTAACGTAATTTTTATCGTAAGTTCGTAAGTAAACGTTAACTAGAATCTCATTAAGAGAAACTTCGAATATATTAATCGTTATAACGAATAAGTAAGTAATTATTTAATATTAAATATAATAGTAAAGTACTAGTATAAAAATAAGAAGGGAGAATAATCGTAAGATCTAAGAGATAAATAAATATGCGATACTTACTTACGCTAGAATAACCTAAGTAATAATAGCTCCTTAGAAGTACCTCGGGCTTATAACTATTACATAGCTAGCGAGAGCTACGTATAGCTTAATAGGTTACGCGTAAAGAGAGTAATGAAATACGGGTAAAAAGGTATATATTAACTAACTAGAAAGAAGGAATATGAACCAATCTATAGGTATATATAGAAGTACTTAACTAGCTTAGGTAAGCTAGGTGGTTCCTACTAGGGGCGTATACCTACGTAATATATTTAAAATGAAAAGGTTTTATAAAAGAAACTTAAAGTTACAACTAAATATTAAAAGTTTATAATTAAAAATCTATTAATAGAATTTTATATTAAAAATATATAAGTTTTAAAACAGAACTTTTTAATAAACAATAATAATAATAATAAATTTATTCTTTAAACTTTTATATAGAAATATATAAAAGTATAAATGTATAAAATGTATAAAATAATGAAATTCGTAAACATTTCCTTGATAAAAAAACTTACAAAAACCTTGAACTTAAACTTAAACTTAACTTAAAAACTTAAACTTTTTTTTTAACCCTGCCTACAGGTAATGACTTCTAGAGTGTACCTGTAGTCACCACCTAGGTATCTAGGTACCGAATGTACTTGTCGGAGGCTATTTACAGCAACGAGACAGCTCTTGGCATCCGTCCGTCATCCGGTCGGTGGCCGACTTCCACTCCCTCGCCAATAGCCTATACGAACCAGCTCAAACACGATACTGCGCAGCACAGACTGACTCTCCGTCTTCAAAGCTGAACCGCCCCTGTCTGATGCGACGAACTGTGTGGATCGGCTGAGAGACGTTCAGCCTCCACCCGCGCGGCATCCTGCACAATACAATACATAAGTCTATGCTAGCCCTTTTACTTTCCAGCCAGTCCGATTCGGCAAGTTAGATCTTTTCGTTTAAAAACGCCTGCGTCGACCCGAACCCCATCGCCCATTCCCTCACCATGTCACCTCGTCCTCTCGGAAAGGGGCTGTTAGGAGGAGACGAGTCTCCAGCTCAAGTTCGTAGCCCTCGTACTTGCGTCATCAGTATGCCTTCGACCCGGTCTTTCGTCCTCACCATACTCCTGGGCTTGTTCGTCGCCGTCGGGCTAGCAAATGCCGTCTTTCATCAACGGTCTCCCGAACAGGACCCTGCTGAGGGCGCCGACCGTCTTGTCGGGCATCAGGATGACTCGAATTTCTCTCGTTTGCTGAGCTCGGCTTCACCCCAGGCTCTGCACGAGTTCCTTCACGCCTACCTCCCGGGCACTTACAAACACGGTGTCTACGATTCCGACCAGTCGGCCTTGGAGGTCATCCATGCAAACGATCCGGAACTAGCAACATCTATCGTTCAGTTAGCAAAAAGACAGCAGTCCGCAAATGATACGGCCGTCTCCACAACCAGTGCTGCGAGTACGGACTCCGGGACTGTCGTCACCACAACTACTCCAACTGAAACTAGCACAGTCGATCCCCCTTCTTCTCCCTCTTCCTCTTCCCCTGCCACATCTCCTGATGCAACTACGCCACCCCCCCAGACGACGACAACAGACGTAGGAACGACTACTACTTCTACCCCGACCAGCACGTCACAACCCAGCTCGCTTACTCTGCCCACGACCTCTGAATCAGCCGATGGGTCTAGTCTTTTTGGTGCGTTTTCCCGAACTCTCCAGTTGTTCTGTTGAACCTTTTCTTGCCATTGCCAAACTGTGTGCAGCGAACACGGAGAGTACTCGGTGTGCGTACGTTTGGCTAATCGTGACTAGCATCGACTTTGACGACTGCGACGCCCTCTAGCAGCGGCTCAACGCGGCCAACTAGGGTGTCCACGTTCACCTCCACGCTGCCTGGGGGGGCCGTAGTAAGTAGAATCCGCTTTTTTATCTTCTTTACTGCGTATACGTGGCTGTTGTGACTGCCCCTAGGGGCGTGGATAGGGCCCCACGGCCTCATCATGGCTAATTACTAACATCGAGTTATTGCAGACCACCATCACTTCGGTTGAAGTCGTTACCCCCGGGCCCGAAGAAGCTACTACAACTTCCGGCTCATCGGGAAGTTTGCAATCCGGCTTCGCCGCCCCGCTAGCCAGACGACGCGTGGCAGAAGTTGTTATCGGTGCAATTATTGGAGGAGCAGTTCTTGTTTGACGATTGCGTTTCATGTCAATTTGGAATTTGGCGTTAAGCATCAACTGAGTGGGGGCATTTATACAACGGCGCCGGCAGTGCATACACGAAAATATGAACGGCATTTACATTCCTTTGAATCTTGGTAGCAAACTTGGAATAGAGCAATATCAGCTAGTGTCCTTGCAAGCTCATGCGGGTCCCGATAGATGTAATGAAGATTGCGGATTTATATTTCCACGGAGGGTTGGTTCATGGTACTGGCTAAGGGAAATTGGAAGACGATGCCTAGGGATCGCACAAGTCCTAGCGAGGAATTTGATAGAAGTAATGATGATGGCCTCAACCCTGGGAAATGGTCCTTAGTATTGTTTGGCGTCGGCCCGAAGGGTCCCCCCTCGCCGACACTGTAGGTAACTAGAATACAAGGCGAGGCCCTCCCGGGCGGAAGCTCGCCACGCACCCAAGTAAAAATAATTGTAAGAGTCATGTCCATTGATTCCGCTGGTACGAGGCGGCAAGTGAACGACATGACCATAAGAGAGGGATGTCGAGGCAATGAAGAATAAATTAGATTCCCGTTGGCGGTCTCGGCGGGCACTGCGCTGGACGATTTCCTCTGAGACGCACAAAACAACCTGCAAGGTAACGACACATTCTCTTCTGCACAGTCGGTTTTCTAGTATAGGGAGAGATTCAATCATCCCGGCCCAATCTTAGGCATGTCGTGATGCTCGCTTAGCTTAGAGAGGTACGTGTTCAGTCCCTCCACCCTCTCCTTGTGCGTCTTGCGGAACTCGGACGTTAGTTTCGGGTCTTGCACTACTTTCAACATCTGGTTTCGGAGAGCTAGATGTTAGCATCGATTCGTCGTGGCCTCGATAGGCGCGAACGGGCAATGTTCGACTTACCTTCTTCCTATTAGCCTCCTCATACTGTCGCTCAGCTTCCGTCTTGTACTCGGCTTCGTCTCTATCCCCGTCGTTCTCGTCCTTGCGGTGGTCGCTTTGCTGCGGGGTTTCAACATCCTGGCGCGCCGAGTCGTCCCACGCAGGAAGGGAGCGGTTGAGGTCCGGTGCGTTGCTCTTCTTCTTTTTCTTCGTCTTCTGCACTTTCCCGCCTTTGAGCCTGAGGGCGCCGCCTCCAACGGATAAATAATCATCCGCTGGCATCCCGTCTGTTTGGAGAGTGTGTTGGCGTAAGGTGCAATAACAGTACACGTAAAGAACACATTAATACTATGCTAGTAGATGAGTAAGAAGTAATATCTAACTAAATAACTTAAATATATCTTGAAATAACTATAAATACATTCCTATATATATACGCTTTTAAAATATAAAATTCATTTATATTAATATTTATTTATCAAGTATTAAAAGCTTTAATACTTATAATACTTTATAAGATACCTGCTTATTAGGTTTGGAAAACTTTTTATTTCATATTTATTATACGTTTCATTGAGAATTTTTCTTCTCTCCTTCTCTTTCTCTTCTTCCCTTTCTTAGATCAAAAAGTATTTACAGAGTCGCCACGACCGTCACCTTGACTATCCTACAGTGACGAGTTGCCATTCTCAATCCGGGAATCACTCTGAAGAGCAATCACCTTCTTAGGAAGTCTCCCGAACGTCTTAGAGCAGTGTTCGGGAGATGTCGAAAAATCGAGGGGACATGATATATATACACATATATACATAGAGAGAGAGAAGCCGACTGGAACTTGAAAATTCAACGCGAAGTTCGGTTTATTGAATCCGTTTGATTGCAATACCCTTGATCGCGAGAATCTTGGAGACTCTTGCGGGGAAGGGTGGCTTGCACCGGAACGGCGCAAGAAATGGCACCGGTACCTATCACTATCCTAACCGGTTTCTTAGGATCAGGAAAGACAACGCTTCTACTCAACCTCGTCCCACAACTTCGCGCCACGAACCCATCCTACCGGCTTGCTCTGCTCAAAAATGAGTTTGGCGACATAGCCGTCGACTCCCAGCTGGCATCGTCGAGCGCTGTGTCCGGCGTCCGGGAAATTCTGAACGGTTGCATCTGCTGCAACCTCGTCGGCCAGCTGAGCCAGGCCCTCGTGCAGCTACGGGACGACGTCAACGCTGACCGCATCGTCATAGAGACCTCCGGCTCTGCCTTTCCTGCCACTTTAGCTATCGAGGTGAATCGCCTGGCCCGCGAGACAGGCAACTTCACGCTTGACGGCGTCGTCGCCGTCATCGACGTCGAGAACTGGAAGGGGTACGATGACACGAGCTTTACTGCGCGCATACAAGCCCGCTACACCGATTTAATCGTCTTCAACAAATGGGAATTCTGTGACGAACGCAGGTTTGACGAGTGTCTCGATCGAGTGGGAGACCTGGAAGTGGACGTCGCCTGGGTCAAGAGCGATCGAGGACGGGTTTCTCTAGATGTCATCTTCGGCATCGATGGTGGCTTGGCACGCGGCATGACCACATCAACAGTTGGTAGTGACGACCACTTTCATAGTCATGATCACCGGACCGAAGTTGAGGTCCTCTCAGTTACGCTTTCCGGAAAGACGGGTGCAACTGTCAACGCCAAGAAGCTATTGACTCTGTTGAGTTCCGCGCCAAAGGATGAGGTTTACAGGATCAAGTCGATATTGGCTGCCCACCCCTCTATCATGGACTCTAGCGAGGGTGTGGACACACCCTCGCCATCGCATCAGCCACAAATATATATCTTGAATTGGGCGTTTGGGAGATGGATATTCACTCCACTTAGGCCCGAGGTGATCGACCACAAGTCGGACCACCACGTAGTGCTTCGCATGACTGTGGTTTTGGCGAGATACGAAAGCGGAAAATGGAAAAGAAAACTCAAGACGGATCAACTCTTGGAGCTCGACGGCGAGGAAAAGGGCGATTTAGCTGTTGTAGACATCTCCTAACCCCCATAGCAGAGACCGAACCTACATAAAGCCGGGTCCTTAGGGATCATGGGCACAGTATTAACATGGAGTGACCTTCTTGGGTTTGAGGATCGAGCAAGTAGCTACTTGTGTATTGTGCGTTTTCTTTCCCAGACCTCTTCCAAATGTCCCATCTCATTGCACCTTGCTTAACGACTAATTTCTAGGAACGAACCTCTGCACCACCACAGTCAAAGCAGTACGGAAAAACGTACATAGTTAAATATACCAGGTATTCCCAAAGACCAGCCGCACGCCTCTTCTTTAATCCGCTGTCATTTAACGCCATAGGTCTCGATCCCCCTTCTTAGGTCCGTGGCTACTATTGGGTCTCGGCCATAGATCTTCTTTGTGATGGCCTAAAGTCCCGGCGCTTTCCCTGCGACTAGAGACGCCCGTATCGCCTGGTACAGCTAAAAATCCACCAGAACCAGTGCCCTGCATTACCACACTCCTTCTCGCGCCACCCGTACCTAGCCAGCCAGGGTCTGAGTCCGCGAGACCATAACTACTCAAAGGACGGCCGCTTGTCACACTACTACTGCTGCGATGACCTTTAGCCCCATTGTATGCGGTGCCGCGAGTATCGAAGGGATCCACTATTGGCCAGGAGTCAGTAGTTGCTATTTCGTCATGACGGATACAGCCAGGAGTACAAGAACGTTAGACAGGAGGCCGGGGCAGGCTGTGTGTTTGTTTACTTCTGGGAGTTGAAAGATTCCACTGAAAAGCCACTCACTCCGAATGCTCCCCCAGTCAATGTCATCCTCCCCTTTGGTGAAAACCTCAAGCGTTTGGTTGAGCGAAAGCGTTCCCATTCCGCGGGATTGATCGAATGCTGCCGGGGCGAATGGGTTGTTGGAACCGAAACGTGCAGGCACATTGTCGAAACTGTTTGTGCTATTAGGTGAGAGGCCGGCTCCGCCTGGGCTAAACAAGACAGCACTGCTAGAGCTACTTGGTCGATGGCGACTGCCCGCGAATCCAGGCGTGGGTAGTGGGAGGCCGAGGAGGATGTCGGGGAAGTTCTGATCGCGGACATAGAGGGCAGATAGGCGCGGCAACCCACCGGCGAAAAGGGACGAGGCCAGATAATTATAATAGCCATCCGTAATGCTTGCGTAGGAGCAGGCCGCCGAGGCAGTGATTTCAAAACGAAGAGTTCGCAAAGACCAATTTGTCAAAGGTGGAATGGGCCTGACGTGAGACGGAAAGGCGGTATCTACCTGGTTAGTTATGGAGAGTGTTGAGAGATTTGGTGCATATGCCAGAATACTATGGAGGGCGAAGGGTTGGATGCCGGTGTTGGTGAGCGACAGGACGTTGAGCTTCTTCCGGGTCTCCTCTCTTGATAGATATGCCACCAAGCCATCTGAAGTGACCCTCGTCATATCTACGAGTAACAGCTCCTCCAAAGCTGGAAAAGCCGGCAGCATGTCGTTGTACTTGAACATGTTGTCGTCCACAACCCTACAATCCGATAATTTGAGGGCCCGTAAACAGCCAAGCACGCTCAGCACATGTCTCAGTACCGCAGGATCCATATTGATCTTAGCCAGCTCCAACACCTCAAGATTTTGCCATACATTGCCGCTGCTTAGTGCTTCCAAGCTGCGCTCGCTGCCGCAGGCGTAGGTCATCTTCCTTAGATCAGGGCATCGGGCTTGCACTTCAAACTTGAGGGTTTGGTAAGCTAAATCATCGCTAAAGAGGCCCTCTGGGAGGTCAACATAACGAAGATTGGGCAAGACAGCGATGGTTCTCGCAAGCGTAGGCGCGCTGGATTCTCGTAACATATAGGGCGTCTTGAAATACCGAACGAGTACCCCGAGGCGAGTAGGGTCTTCTCGCAATGAACGACATAGCAAGCTCAGCCTAGCACTTGCCGTGTCCTCGGGGACGCCGTTCCGATTGAATCGGCTCCTACGCTTCCGCTTCTCAGAAAGGTCGATCTCACGCTCGCAATAATGGACGGAATCGATACGGATGCTGTGATACCTGTTATAGCAGGAAGGCCGCTAGCTGAGCAACGAAACAATACGCAGTAGCAAGGGACGCCTTGCGGGAGGGCAACTCACATCAACTTGACAGCCGCCTCCCTCCAACGCTTACTGACCTGACCAGCGTGAGAGAGGTCGCGAAGGTCGCAGAGCATACAGGCATTCTCCAAAGCGCTCTGCTCGCACGTCTCGTAGGACTCATCGCAACAGTGGGGGCAGACAAAGGAAAGGACCCTCTGCAAGATAGGAGGGGGGAGCTTGAACCAAGGTGCGAATACGCTGCTCCTCTCGGCATACCGATATTGGTCGCGGTGGTGGGTATTATACTGCCAATATTTGTCTCGTTCCAGATCGTCACGGGCGGGCGTGTTGGATAGCTCAGACTGCGAGGGCTTCTTGCTACGTCGGAAGAACTTCATAGTAATAAATTTCATGGTGGGCTTCAGAGTATAAAGTGGGAAGACATGTCGCCTGATATCTACCACAACCAACTCCGCCTACTATGAGAGTAAGAAAACGAGCAGAGTTCTTAGGATTCAATTTAAATACGGTACTACTTACCATTTAGAAAGGATTAAATAATAGAAACGATAAATATTAACATTACTATATTTTAATAAAAATAAAATGCTTATATATAAATATTAAGTTACTAATAATTATATTAATATACATTAATTAAAAGTATTAATTTAGTATTTTCTTTACCTATTAATATAATTTAATACCTATTTAATTATAAATATAATTTTAAGTATTTAGAGATTTAATTATATTAATATTTTCTATCTTTTGAACTATTTTATTTTATTAATTATTATATATATTTTAATATATTATGTAACGGTTTTACGTTTGTTATTTACCTTAGTAATAGGAGTTTATATATATATACGCCCATATTGTTTCCATCCCTTTAGTTAGTTTTAAGATAGAATAAGACTTTTTTTATTCCTTTGCTCCTCCTACCATTACTCGTTACTCATGTGATAGCTCCTTGTGAGTGCTCTCGCCTACATAGCTTCCGTTCTATGTAATATAATAGTAATGTATTATAAAATATGATACTTTCAAAGTACTAAATATTTTAAACTAAAGACTTTATAAAAATATATATATATTAACCTTTTCCTTCAATCTAATATCTTTTTAAAGTTAAAAATTTAATAAAATAATAAAAGATCTTACTTTTTAAATTTTTTTTTAAAAAAAAAAGTACAAAACTAATCCTATCTGGAGGATAGTTATAATACGTCAAACCTCCTGTCATGCTAATAAATTTACAGGGGTAAATACCTCTGTAAATGTAGAGTTATTTTAAGAGATACCTTGTTTTTATTAACTAAAAGTTTATATATGCTATATTAATTAGTTAAAAGTTCGTATAGCCTTCTTAAAACGAATGCATCTAATAAAACCGTAGCATACGAAGCGGGATCCATATATCATTATTTACTTACTAACGCGTCGATTTTCTATTTATTTTAATCCTATTCATATACGAATTAATTAATTTAGGTTAGTTTCTCCCTGTTTAATCTACGTTAGTTTCTCCTCGTTCAATCAAAAGTCGGTTACGAATCAATCTCTTTTCGTAGTTAAATTAAGCGTCGATTTCTACTTACTCCTTTTTCCCTAGCAGAGCGCTTCGACATATTTTATGAAACAAAAGCAGCGTGGGAACGCTGTAGGAAACGAGTAAAGCAAGGTTAACCTAACTGCCAATAACTAGCTCAGTGCCGCTTGAATTAGATTATAGCTATAAATAACTATAATTAGTTGATCGACTAACTAAACACGATAGCTGGGAAACTTTAAATATAATGGCAAGGAAAGGTATTTGTAAAAGGAAGAAATACTTATTAGAAACCACGGTTAGGAGGGTACCAATAGATACGGGTTAGAAGATGTAAGAGGGAAAGGTACGTAAGTACGATATAAAAGAAGGATCATTCTACTTTCTATTATACGAGCGATACCTTTTAGGAAAAATGTAACAGCTTATTAAGCGAGAAACGTCCGCGGACGGTAGCCGCCCGTTAAACGAGGGGCGCCCGTAAAGCGATAGGCGTTTATTTTTATAAGTACGCTAGTAGAAAAAGAACCTTAGGTTAACTAATGAGGAGGAGCAGAGCGTACGCGATGCTAGAGGCCCGGATAGGTTTACTCGAAAGTATACTCTTATCGAAGACTATAATACGTACGATGGTCTAAGACGGATAAAACTAATATCGCTATACTAATCGAAAGACGAGGAATTTAATGTAGTTATTATATCTTAGCTATACCCCTTAGTCGTAGAGATGTAGTAGTCGCTAGCCCGAAGGCATAAGAAGTAAGAGAAGAAAAAGGGTAAAACGTAAAAGTTACTTATTCGGCTATAGCTATACGATAAAGTAACTTAAGCGCTTATAATTAAGATAGATATATTAATCAGAGAATAACGAATCTAATAATAAAAACGAATCTTAAATTAAGGTAAAAATAGTAAAGATAGTAATCTAACTAAGTAGTAAACTCGATGATAAGTATAGCATAGCCCGTACTTACGGGAGCTATGGTTACTCTATATAGATATAAGGCCTATCGTAGCGTATTACGTAATGCATCAAGAGGGCATGTCTTACCGCACTACTATACTAACTATGGTAATCTATATAAAACTTATCACGTAGAGGTAGCTCCTTAGGTTACTCCTCTTCGTTGCTTACCTTAGTAATAAGAGCTCCTATATATATGCTCCCGTTACTTCCATTTCTTTAGTTCGTTCTTTAATAAATGAAAGACCTTTTCTCTTCTTTTACTCCTCCTCCCGTTACTCTAAAATAGCTCCTCTACGTGCGCTCTCGCGTACGTAGCTCCTTTATATAGCTACGTAATAATTATAAACCCGGTTAACGCTTTAAAGACCTCCTTTCTTCTTAAAGCCGTAAAGCGTGCGCGGATCTTCAGAGCTCTTCGATACCTCGTTTTTCCGAGCTTCGTTTCTTTTTTTTCTAGCTCTCGATACCTTTTTGTCGCTCGCCCTAGAACTCGACTTAATCGGGTAGTAAGGTAAATAGCAGGGGGTAGCTAAGAAACCCCTTAATTTCTCCTTTCTTTCTTTCTCTAGCCTACTAACGTTTCGGTGAAAGGAATAATTGCTTTAATAAATAATCCCGTTTCGGACTCGCTTCCGATTAACTAACTACGGCCTTAACTCTTTCCATACGGGCCTTGGCTCGCCTTAGGGGTCGATCCGACGTCGGAGAACAAAAACTAAGTGGGGGGGAGAGAGCTCGGTAATAAGGGATCGGTTTCATTTCCGAAAAAAGGTCTAGGGAATAATTGGCTCTCGCTCTTTCTACCGCCGTAATAATCTCCTACTATACGGCAAAACCGCTCTAACTCCCTAAAGTACTACCTCCTATTTCGGACTCCTCCTTCCGTTATCGAGAATAACTCGAGGGAATAAGAAAAAAAAAGAAACTAAGGGCGTAAATTAACACTGCGACTTCTTAATTAAACTACCTGTAACTAAAAGGCGTATATTAAATAAGTACTAATATGCCGTTTCTTAAAGCGTTACGAATAACTACCGTAGCTCTTTCTTTCCTTTAGCTGAGCTAAAACTCGGCCCGAACCTTGATAAAAACTACCTAGTCCCAGAGCTTTAATGATATTAAAAGGGTTTTACGCGTATTTACCAGCTTAATTAACGGCGTTCGTAAGTTGAGACGTACTTTTTAAAGGGGTTTAATTCGCCTTATAATCGTAGATCGATTACCCTTAGGGAAAGTTACTCCCGGGGTTTTTCGATACCGCCCGCTGGAAGCGACGACCGGAATCGCTCCCGGGCGTTTCGATTCTTTTTCGCCTTCTTTTAAAAGGCTCCCTTTACGCCCTCTTATAAAATTACTCTAGAACTCGATTTAATCGAGTAATAAGATATAATAAAAAGGCTTCCTAAACGGCCTTATCTCTTTCTCATAAACCCCTCGATTTCGTTTCTAGGAAGTGAGCGACGGCGAGCGACTATATTACGATAATTCGCCCTTAAGAAACGGATAAAAGGAAGGGCTACTTATTATTATCAGATATTCTTGCGCCGTTTAGAGCTATTAATAATACTACCCCCGAGAATATTCTCCGGGGGACCCTCCGTCCTACGTTCGTTCCTTAAATCCCGTAGTCTCTTCGGATAGTTTAATTATTACTAATAAAATCGTATAACGAAAAAGCTATTACCCGTTTTCGCCAACGAATAACTACTTCCTCTTACGACTTATTAACTATGCCGTAGTAAGATATAAAGGTTAACTTACTGAAAAAAAGGCCTAATTCTTCTTCGGAAAGTAACGGACGACGATACTACCAAGCTCGTACGAGCGACCTACCCGGCGCTTACTGAGCCTAAGTTTATATATATACGAGAACGGCCTAGAAGAACTCCCCGCCGAAAGAAGACTAATAACTCTAGAATGAACTTTTTCGTTTATTAATTAGTTTTCGAGGTAGCTCCCCTATATATAATAAATAACTCGTCTTGATCTTCGCGCCGTACATAACTCTATTACTTTACGTAAGAGAGTAGTTAACGCCGCTTACGCGCCGTCGATTAAAAGGTATATTACATAGAGGTAATTCCTTAGGTTACTCCTCTTCGCCGCTTACCTTAATAATAGAAGCTCCTATATATACGCTCCCGTTACTTCCATTCTGTTACGTAGGCATGCACCCCTAGTGGGAACCACCTCGCTTACCTAAGCTGGTTAAGTACTACTATATATATCTATAAATTGCTCTATATTCTTTAGTAGCTTTCCTTCTTTTCTAGTTAGTTAATATATACCTTCTTACTCGCATTCCATTGCTCCCTTTACGCGTAACTTATTAACCCATACGTAGCTCTCGTTAGCTACGTAATAATTATAAGCCTAAGGTACTTTTAAGGAGCTATTATTACTTAGGATATTCTAGCGTAAGTAAGTATTATATATTTATTTATCTTTTAGATCTTACGATTATTTTCCTTTCTTATTTTCCATACCGGTACTTTACTTTCGTATTTAATATTAAATAATTACTTACTTATTCGCTATAACGATTAATACATTCGAATTCTCCCTAGATAAGATTTTAATTAACGTTTACTTATGAGCTTACGATAAATAGCTACGTTAGTTCCTTACGCTTAAGTTAATAGCTACTTAGTTTAGTATCTAAAAGGACGTTAATCTAGATGGAGCTAAGTTTAACGCTACTCGAGTCGTAGTAGGTACTCTTAAGGAGTATATTACTTAAGAAAACGAACTTCTTAAAGAAAACTATAAGAAAGCGGTTTACGAATAAGTATCGATCCTAACTAAAAACTAAGGAGATTAACTACTAAGGCTTAAAGCTTAACTCGAGAGTAATAAACGGCTACGTATAATAAGTTCGTTTCCTAGTAAATAACGATCGAGGCTTAGGTTATAGCTACTAATAAGTAGTATAAGGTTTTCTATGGCTAGATTTTCGTATTTATTTCTATAAGCTTTCTTAAGG